TATGGAATGGAGAAAATAATTAAAAATAATAAGAAATACAAAAGATCAGTACTTTGTTGATTGTCCATTTGTATTTATCAGGGCAGAAAGTCTTTCAGACATGGACATGGCCAGGTTGTCTATAATGGATTTTGCAATGTGATTACCTAGCACAAAGTCAAGTCTTTCATGCATTGTATCAATGTCTTTTGATTAGTGCGAAAAGATTTTTAATAGGATCGAGATCCGGGCTGTTGGCTGGGACGAAAATTGACTGGAGGCCACATGCGGAGAGGTTTGCTGTTGTCTTAAAAGTCACATTACGGTTGAAAGCGTTATGAAATTCATACTTCTTTAGAACGATAGACAGGAGCATTGTCGTGTTAAACTATGATACCCCGTCGGCGTCGGTAGATGTCGTTGTAATTGGAAAAACCCCTTCACAATGTTGACGACCACCTTGTTGCTGATGGTGTCCGTAATCGACCATCAGACTAGCCGTTCTCGGAATTTGATAGACATCAAAACCGTCTACAGTTCTTGAAAGTAGCCATCGGCGCAGTGTGCACTTTTGGGAGGTTTTTTTCCGCATATGACCATCTGGTTTGGCTTCGTTGGTCTGTCTAAAAATAGGACTTCATCGCAGAAGCGCATGCTCTTCCAGAATTAGGGCCAGTAATCAACATATTTTTTGGCAAATAAAAACGTCCTCTAATAGGTTTCCTAGTTAAAAACGGCTTGGTCATGGTCTTTTGTTAATGAAGTTCGAATTCCCACGCGCCTTTCCTAACTGTGTTCATAGAAAACATCGGCAGATGTTCCCTGTAAGTGGTCTTAATGGACATATAATGATACTTTTTAGTGTACGGCGCATTAAATCGTCATCTTGCTTACTTATGGACCGTCGTAGTCCGTCCTGCTTATTTCTGGGTAAGGTTCTATCATTAAGTATTCTCCACAGAGTAACCTTACTAATATTAAAAATACTTGCTAACTACTCATGCGACAATACTTCCGCTGTTAATTTCCGTATCATTTCGCAGTCGACTGTTAAAGGACGTTGTCTTGTCATATTTATCGCGCGACCTGACACAGAAAAGTGTCAGCATGTTACGCATACTCGATATATATATATGTATATATCAACCGAATAATTTCAGAAATTACTAAGTGCAGGACTTGGAGTTAAATCTCCGGGACATGACGTTTTAGGGTCAGAACCGAAATGTCAATGAACATTTGAGTCGAAGACAATCAACTAACGTGGAATAATCACGTAATGCCCATTCTACAAACAAGTAGTACTACAAGTAGTATGAATTGCGTATGGTAAAGGTATTATACCGTACTCCCGACATAGATACTTGTTAAAAGCTCAGACACGTGTTTCGCCGATATTCTGCCGCTGCGTGACACAGCTGCGAGGGATTCGGCTCTTCAGTGGGACTCCCAGTGTTCTCTAGCGGTTTCTGGTATATGAACTCCAGAGGATAATCAAGCGAATAATTTCAGAAATTAATCAGTGCAGGACTTGGAGTTAAATCTCCGGGACATGACTTTTTAGGGTCAGAACCGAAATTTCAATGAACATTTGAGTCGAAGACAATCAACTACTGTGGAATAACCACGTATATCTGTTTACGTCTAGTAGTTTTCGGTGTGGTAAAACAAACTACTGTCGAACAAATTTATTGCCGATTTTTATGGCACGAAACGCCATGAATTTACGAATAAGGAATTTTATAAGCTGATTTTGCCCTTAGTTGGAAACAATGCAAGTTATCAAACCCGCTCTCACTTGGTTTTCATGGAAGCAAAATCAAATTTTTGTTTCTAGACATGATTTATTTTGTACTTTTCTTATTTGTATTAATCTTTGTTTACAGCACAATGCAAATAAGCATGAAGTTTTAGTCTGCAAATTTCCATAGCGTAGGAAATTATTTGGATATTAAGAAAGGTCAGATTTCACCCAAATCTGGCCTGTTTTTCTTTAATAAAAGTGGCTTGAAGTGAGCCCTTCTTCAGTAAATGGTCTTCCATGTCTCAAATCATTTTAATAAGCACAAATAACATCACCAAACACATGACATACTTTTTGCTCAAATTTCAACCATGACATTTCATGAGCTAGACCACCATAAGCTAAAAAGTCAACAGAGGCAGTTGGTGAAGGGCCGTCTAGACAGTATTCGCAGAGGGCGGGAAAATATCAGTACGTTTAAACAAAGGATTGCCTATAGGCGTTTATAGAAATTTGCAAATCTGTCTTCTTAAAATCGATAAAACGTCTAGTTTTCTTAACATAACCTTTCTGCTTACACTTGATTTACGTGGTGGAAAAGAATCAACTCCCAAGTGCGGCGAGCTCCGTTTGGCGAAAATGTCGAGTTTAAATTACTCTCCTCCAATAGAAAAACACGCACGGATGAACAAACTTAGTATAAGACTGCTAGTAGCATAGTAAATTACCCAAATACAAGGTAACGCAAATAGTTGCTCAAATTTATAAAAATATCCCGATAAAACTACTTATAAGCATGTTCCGCATGCAAAAGGAACATTTTGCGCAACAGGCTAGACAGATGGGCAACAAATGCAACACCCTGAGGTGACTAAATCGTCTCGATTTTCGTTTCATGCACTAGGCTACATGCTGTACGTGCAGCCAGCATCACTAAACCCTCCTGGTGTAGAAGGAGGTAAAATACATAGAAATCTCCCACTAAATACCATCATTATGATATTTACAAATTAAATACCTCCTACTTGCTGGCAAAAATTAAGAGGAAATGCAGTTTTCTTTTAGATTATCACATTAAACTGAATCCCTTGAGACGGAAATTGCGGAAATTAATTGAGTTAGTACAAGCTTCGACAGTTATTACAGAAGCAATACAGGATAATTTAATGGCTAATTTGCTTTCGCGTGCGTTTAACACAGACCATTTTAACATTTTCCCCGCAAAAGCTGGTGCGAACCGTGTATGCAGTGATAGTCCGTATTGGATAATCTGACAGCAGACTTTATAGTGTCAGTGTCTGTATCTCGTGAGGCTGGAATTCCTTCCGATGGTCATTTATGTGAATTTACAGGTGGGTGAGTGGATGGAATCAAAGGGTCTGAAAGCGTATGCTATGCCAGTATCAGCAAACCATGGCCTTCGCAGCCTGGTATGCGTCGGCAGTTCTCCGACGCCTGGTTCCCCGCCGCCAGATGCGCTTGCGCTCCCGCTGGGTTGTACAGGTGGTGGGCATGGCTGTGCAGTCATCATCCTCGTCCTTCTGACCCCTGTTGGGGTGTTTATAGTTGTTGTTGGTGAAAAATCCTGGTCAAATGGCTGTTGTGAACCAGGGGTGTGGTGGCGCGCCTAGGCGCGGGTCCGGTCGTGCCAGACACCAGCGACCCCCCTTGCCTCCGGTCTTCTTTCCTCTGTCCTGACACCGGGTCCGTCACCCTACACAAACATATACACAGCTGGACGGACTGCGCGGACTAAGGTGAGGCGTCAGTCGACTCCCTTCCAAGCCATGGCGATAGGCGCACCGTGACAGTCTCAGACTCCGATCATCCGTGTAGTTGGGGAGCCGCATACGGAAGGAGCCGAGACGCATGCTTTCCACTTGCGTGGAAGATGGCAGTTGAGTGTTTGAGGTGAGTGATTTCGATGTGCGGTAAGATGTGGTGGTGGTGGACGTGATGCAGCCGACGTTGGTCTACCGCAGGTTATCGTGGACTTACATGTGCAAGTGCAACGTGGGCAGTGGAGGCGGATGCTGCGAGTGAAATAAACAATCCCCAGCCACCTGTAAGAACGGACCGGGGGTAATAGGGATTTTAAAAAGTGGGGCCGGGGAAGGCACAGACGATGAGGTCAGGTGATTGTGTGCAAACGAAAAGCTTTTGGTAATGCGCAATCGTAATTTGAGCGGTTGGGAAATAGGTACCCTAATCCCTAATCCTAATCTCTAACTCGGACCCCCTACCTTAACCCCCTAACCCTGACCCTGAACCCCAACCCTTAACCGCAGCCCTTAACCCAACCCTGAAACATTCAACGCGACAGTTAGAAGGAGACGACAGGCCGAAAGTCAAGAAGAACCACAGGCATTGGGCAACAAAGACACAAGGCCGCCAACAGAACATACACCGCAACGCGCAGCAACGCCATGCCGAGTTAATCACACAAACTCAACATATTTAAGTAGGTCAACAGTATTTTGCCCATAAGGTGCGGCTACATAACCACATCTTACCCAATAAAGTCCATGTTTTCTTTAAAATTTACGCTTTGACTTTACTAACTTTTGGGACAATTTCCAAGAGCAGGGTCTATTTTTAAAAGGTGCTTTCTAAAATGCAAATAAACGCGGTGCCGTAAACAATCCTGTCGCGTCCCTAACAGGGCGCGCTAATTCCGTCCCATGTTTCGAAAGAAATATTGCAGTCGTAATTTGAGGCCTAGGGATGCAGCCACTAAAGCGGATGATTCTGGCCAAGTCATCGGCTTGGTTTCAACAGAGGTGGACTGCAGAGACGTCATGGACCATCCGCGCCATGTTTCAGGTGGGGATATGACCATAGTAAAAGCATCCGTTTCGGGTTGCCCTAGAAACGCCAAGGAGTGTGGTGGCACGCCTAGGCGCGGGTCCGGTCGTGCCATCCACCTGCGCCCTCCCCCACCTCCGGTCTTCTTGACTCTGTCTTGACACCGGGTCCAGGTGGCGAGAGTGCGGTAGATGCTGCGAAAGCCTACTATCACTATAAACTAATTCACACGCAAGTCACCGTGTCCGCCGCACCTTGCTCTGTAGCACGCGTTGGACATTGTCGGAATCGACGGTCGAACTGTCAGCTGGATGAGCTAGGCATGTCGAACAGAACAGACCTACCTGATCAGTTATATAAAATGATCCAGGTACCCTATTGGTTCTGGAGTTTACCTTCGGGAGCGTGTGAAAACCAGCAAACAACAAACGAGTCATCGGGGACTCATAATAGCTCCCCTGAGATCCGCCAGATGTTCGCAAATTTCCTAGCAAAAGAAGCCCTCGAGACAACGCAGGTAACCAAAAAGCCACGAAAACACCCAGACATCAAGGAGGGTAGAACAGAGCTGAAGGCCCACCTAGTGCTGATGGCCACACACAGAGAGAGAATTTGCGTGAGTGCGTGCGCGTACATGCACCTGGTCCGTAAAATGTTTGTACTTTTAGGTGTTTGCCACACCGGCAACCGTTTGGCCGCTGACCCATAAGCCAGCACACCCTTGGGCGTACGCACACACACACGTGCGGGTGCATGCATGAGTTGTAATCGGCAAGCGCCTGTCCACCAACCAGTACATCGTGGGGCGCAGGGGGTGGGAGCGGGGTGAGCGCGTCCAGTCGCCGATGCGGAGACCCGCAGTGCTATCTACTGCTTACTTCTGCTATGAGTGTAATTGAGACACACTAACGACCTTCAGGCGTTGGGACATCTCGAACGAGGATGCCTCCAATTTTGGCAGTGGCGTTTCCATACCAGCTGGCTCGAAGCCACCACCACCACTGCCACCACCACCACCACCACCACCACCACCACAACCATCACCACCACTATTGCTATTGCTGCTACTAATACTACTACCACCACCACTACTACCAAACCACCACCACCACCACCGGTGGCAGCAGCAGCAGACCTGTTGGCAGCTTCCGCTCCAACTAACGTAGAGAACAATACCCAGGAAGTATGCGATCGACACAGTTCACCACTCAGCAATAGTGTGCTCGGATAGATGCGCAGAACGCTGTCCAGGGTCTTGCCAAGTGGACAGCATCCGCTTAAAATAAGACGCGGTCTCGGATGGCCAGGGTGATTATTCTGCACGCCAGGACGACAGACTTCCCTGACTGCCACACAGTTCTACCCTGTTCCAGTAAGCCCTGTATTTCAGGAAGAAATAAAGTGCAATAGGATCAAGACACCCAGGCAACATCCGTAGGAGGCCTCCTCAATCAATTCATCGGCTGTCAATGACCCGGATCAGGTAGTCGCGGGTGAGATGCGCATAACACGAAGCGGCCGTGTCCTTTTGAGAACACACACACACACACACACACACACACACACACACTGTCTCGTACTCTTACTTATGTAGTTGTGCTTGGTACAGCTGCGATCGTGTCTGATCTAGCCGACCTCGATAGTGTCCTAAACTGTACCTCTCCATGTTTGACGACTCGCGGCAGCATATCTGGACAGTTCAACCCATCCTCTTTACCCTCGACGGAAACCGAATATCGAAGGTCAAAGAACCACCTCCATGTCTTGACAAACTGTGTCTAACCAGGTCTTGAGTTGAGCCCCTCTTCGACGCCTCCAATGGGATAACGGTGCCGGAACGAGGGCACGTATTTCAAGATGATCTAACACAAGCATCATTTTCAGTTGCAACATTTGACGTTGAGACAGCCATGAATCAGAGATGAATTAGTGGAAGTAGATTTTAGTCTCACTTGAAGCGCTTTGATCAAAAATAGCTGGACAATACAAGGTGAAGCCTTAACTTTCAAGTCATTTTGCCCTCCATTCGGAACAAAACGGCGAAGGTCAGCAGTCTTCCATGCCACGGCAATCGGTGCACCGTTATAATCTTAGACTCGGATTACACATGTAACAGATGAGCCGCATGGAGAAGGAGCCGTGAAGCACACTTCCCAATTGCGTGGGAGTTGACAGTTGGGTGGTTGTGATACGTGATGGTGTTGGGAGATGCGGATGCCGATGGGAGATAGTGTGACGGTGTGGTGTAGCCGGCGGTTGTCTACCACAGGTTGTCGCGAGTGCGCATGTGCCCTACTAGGCTCATGCGGTGGGTGAACGTGCCTGTGCAGTGAGAGCAGTTAAGGCGGATGCGGCGAGTGTAGGTTGGCGCTCCAGGCACTGATTTGCCCGTCTCTGTGCGATTGATTCGCAAGTGACCGACCAGAGCTATGTGTAAGGTGAATGTGCGATCGAAATGAGAACAGGCATGAACTGAGTCCACGTCGCTGGAAGTGGGGATGTTGGTGATGACGTTTTTTACACACTGCCACATGCACTCACGTCTCCAGTGCCCGGAACATCATGAACGCTGTTTGGTTCCAAAGAACGTTCGGGCCACGTCACGAAATGTCAAAATGTCTGGAAGTGGACTTACGTGAGACATCACTCAGCCTTCAAATGTCCTTAAAGCTAAGGACTATCTACTCCATCCTTCTCGTCCACCTCACCTTGGCAGGTTGACGATTGTTAGCGTTTCGCAGTGATGACCGGCTGAGCGCATAACCTGTACGGCAAAGCCTCACCCCTCCCGTTTACTTACAGTGCGTGACAGATCTCATGAAATGTTGGCCAAAATTCTGAAACGCGTTTTCGATTTGGAAGGACTACTTAGGTGAGATTTTAATACTGATTATCATGCGGCATGGTCCTATAGTACTTCGGACTTGCCACGATGTCGGCTTTGAATGCACTTCTTTTCGCCCTCCTGCAGAAAGCACACTCGGAGAAAACTGACTACTTAAGTAGCATGAACTTTTCCACATTGATCTCCGATGGCCCTATTAATCCAAATATACCATATAGGAAGCATGCAAAAATAATATGATTTCTTTTACTCGTTTGGTAGGAAATGACCTTATCTTCACATTTTATACCCGAAGATCCCAGTTTCCGAACAATTTTGAGCCTAACCAGCCGTTACATTGGCGTTTAGCGATTCCAGTTTACAAAGTGTATGCTTTCCGCGTGAGGAAAATCATATATCCCTCTATGCCTTTAAGAAGAGACAATGTGGGGTTCAGTAAAATTTTGCCATGAATGCGGACTTTGTCGTACAATTCACTGATAAACGGACATGTGCAATGCAGTACGCATAGACATCATATGGTCTTAAAAATCTCATGATGAGAAACTTTTTTAAAACCGAAAGTAAAACTTTTCCTAGGATATAAAATGTAAAACCAATGTGATTTTCTATCAACCGAGTAGAAGAAAGCATATTTTTGCGCATGTTTTGTGAAAAATATATTTAAATTTACAAGACCATCAAAAATCAATGCGAAAAATGCATGCATGCAGGAGGACGAAAAGCAGTGCATTCAAAAGCTGACATCCTGCCGAGTCTGAAATACCATAGGACTATGCCGCATGATAATCAGTATTACAGTCTCACCTAAGTAATACCACCAAATCGAAAACACATTTCAGAATTTCGGCCAACATTTCATGAGATCGGTCAGGCGCTGTATGCACCCTGCGACGACTCTGCCCTCTAGTTGACCTGGTTCATGGACAGCAATCTTTGCTGAGAAGGCATTAAAGCTGCACGCACGCACGCACGCACGCGTACGCACATGAGCACTTGGTGCGTGCGTGCGTACGTGCAACCAGCTCTTGGATAAAGAACCCTGTGGTACTTGTATTGCGGCCGCAGTGCCCGTGTGTGCTTAGGGCTGAGAAAAACAAGCTGGTGGCTTTTTGGAGCGCACTGACGGACCTTGTCGAAAACAAGTCAGTAAAAGTACAATCAGGATTTCGTGTACTTGGCTAGACCGTTTTGACCGACCCTTGAAATGGGGCGGGTGACTGGCATTTGCAGGTCGAAAACCCAAATGTTAGCTCCACCTAATTCAAGGGTATAAGTCTCCTTCAGACGTATTTTTCTCGCAAAATTACGCAAAAAAGCGTTCCACTAGTTTTTTAATCCTGGGATAAACACAAGGGATCTGTAGAATATGTCGAGGACTACATTCTCACGTTCCAAGTTCCATAGAAACTAACTAACGCGGCTCAACTTAGATAACTTCCCAGCACTTGTATCTGGAATTATTAAGGGACAGAGATGTAGTTATATAACCCCACCTGAAGTAAACAAACCCCAGCCACCTGTAATACGGGAGCGGTGGTAAAAGGTATTTTTACAAGTGGGACCGGGAAACGCACAGATGACGAGGTCAAGTGATCGTGTGCAAAAGAAACGCTTTTGGTAATGCGCGACTGTACTTTGAGTGGTTGGCAAATAGGTGCCCTAACCACTAAGCCTAACCCCTAGCCCTAACCCCTAACTCTGATTCCTTACCCTAACCCCAAAACATAACCCCTACTCACCTAACCGTGACCCTGAGCCCTAACCCTTAACCGCAGCCCTAAACCCCAACCCTGAAACATCCAACGCGAAAGTTAGAAGGAGACGACAGACAGAAAGTCAAAAAGAACCACAGGCATTGGGCCGAAAAAGTTAAACAGGGCAACAAAGAAACAAAGCCGCCAACAGAGCACATAGCAACACCTTGCCAACGTAACCACACCAACTCAAAATATTTAAGTGGGTCAACGGTATTGTGTCCATCAGGTGCGGCTACATAATCACATCTTACCCTATTAAGTTCATGCTTTTTGCAAAATCTAAGCCTGGACTTTTCTAACTTTTGAGAAAATTTTCAAGAGGAGGGTCTATTTTTAAAAGGTGTTTTCTGAAATGCAAATAAACGCGGCGCCGTAAACAGCCCTTACAGGGCGCGCTAATTCCGCCCAATTTTTTGAAAGAAATATTGCAGCCATAATGTAAGGTTTAGGGATGCAGCCATTAAAACGGATGATTCTGGCCAAACCATTGCCTTGGTTTCGACAGGGGTGGACTGCAGAGACGTCATCGACCATCCGCGTCATGTTTCAGGTAGGAATTTGACCGTATTAAAAGCATTCGTTTTGGGTTGCCCTAGAAACGCCAGATGATAGTAAAAAAACGGCTGGTATAGGAGGCGGCGCACCATGGCTGGTTAGTAGTTTTTAACGAGAGTAAAACTACCACCCAGCTCAGATGGTATCTTTTGAAAGCGTTATTTTCAATGAGAGTAAGCTGGCTCATACCAATTCTCAGCATGCTTGAAAGAAGATATGTAGGCTCAACTGGTTTGACTGTGAGCCCAGAACCGTAAAAGAATGTGGATCCTTGATTTAGTTAAAATTCGATCGTGTAAAATTAACGCGAAAGATGATTCTGTTCGACCAACATTGTCTGAACAGGAAGTCCTCGGGACTGCAGGTGAAGTAAGTGCAGACAGACACTGGCAATTATCGTCCGTTTAAATAACTTAGCTAACAACGTCGGTCTAGAATGCGAGGTGAATTTGCTTGCAATGTTTTGCGAAGTATAGAGCACATGCAATTGCCTGTGCGTTAGTGAACAATTTAGTTGTGTCGTCTCGATCACAGGGCATGCCTAATTCGGACATCAAAATCCTTCATTGTTGCCTTGCGGAATGCGCCCAGTCCTTTTTCGGCAGGGGATTTAAGTCCCTATTGAGTAAATAAAAACGGAAACTCGCTTACGGTACGATATTTCACATTCATAGACAATGTGCATGGCTGGTTTTGAAGTCGAGAACTTCGCTCTTAAAGCCATTAGAAGCTGGCAAGAAATGACCGTGAGTATAAATGATTGATAGGAATGTGACTGGTGAACTGGGGGTGGGGTCGGGTGTATGGGGATGGGGGAATAGGGGTCAAACATTGATATTCTCCGTGGGGGTGGGGAAGAGCGGAGACAGCGGATTGATAGTAGGAGTTCATGACGGGCTACTGGCAGTAACCAATGGTCTAGGTGTTTGTAGGCCCTCTCAATATGCATCAAAGTTAGCATGCGGGCCAAATCTGTTGCCGCATGATCCGACCGCATGCAGCTGATTAAGATGCCTGCTTGTAGTCGTGTCATAAGTTTAGTGAGTGAGACAGGTGACTAGGAACCCTCCCGTAACAGAACTTGCCTTGCGTTAAATTTCGGGAAGGGTACGTATTCCCCTATATTAACCGCAATTTCAACATTAAACCTAACTCACACCCTAACCCTGACCATAACCTTATCGTAGTCCTAACTTTAACCCTCACCCTATGTTCACCGTAATCTCCCAGGAATTTTGGCGGAAACCAATTTGTATTGCGGGAAGGGGGATTTTATTCCTGTGTCCTCGTGGGAAGGACAGATTCCACATTCTGGAAAATGACCTTTTGTTCCTTCGGTGTAAGATCAATCAGTGGATGCCGGAACGCGAAAGGAATGACTTCCTAGTCAAACGGCGTCTTTTTATCGGTTACATTAGACGAAAAGAACACGTGTCAGTGTGGCTGATATCGATATTAGTCGCCCTCCTAGGAAGGAATTGCCTACGACGAGGCACTTGGGGTACGCGTCCACTTGGTTAATCATATGAGACCTCAAGTATGTCGGCTTGCCTAGTAGCCCAGGCGCTATCACAGTCAGAACATGAGCGGCAAGTATGAAAAAAAAGTACGGCATAAATGGCCTCAAAAGTAATAAACACATTCATCCTCTTCTGAAGTTGAATAATTCAGGAGAGAAGAGGAAATCAGAGCGATGAATCTAAAATACATCAACACAGTCACAGGCACTACTGACAGGCGCACGTTCATCCAGGTCACTTTAAGTTGATTAGTTTTCGTTACCGTGTTTTGTCTTATCGAACCATCTGAAGGAATTTCCAGGATTAAACCCACCGTTACTACTTTGAGTAGCTTGACCGTCGTTTGGTTGTCTCTCAGTTGACGTTTATTTTCTAGTTGTTAGCCCTTGGTGTCTGTTCTCGGGGAATTTGCCGGCTTGGAGGTAGGTTCTATGAATCCTCTTTGCAGTGGGTTGATTCAAAGGCAGTAATATACCTTCCCTCCCCACGAATCGTTTTATATTCGGAATGGCCAAGGCCGAAGTCTGTGCGTTTTCAGTCCTGTTGATATTTTCTTCATTAGTCAGGCAAAAGATATCGTCCATATATCGACAATATTGCCCGGCTCGACCTTGCCCACGTAGACGTTTGCTAGGGAACATGGAGTCTCACCAACCCTGCCCCTGAGACACATTTATAGCCTGATGATGAGTCACTGAAAGCATATGTTTGTCAATTGACTTTTTAATCGTAATATGGGAATTTTCGCAGAGGTCAGACCGTCTAAAAAAACTTCAATTAAAACAGAACCCTGACTCTTGAATGTGCGTCTTCTCAGACGCCTGTAAAAACGACACTCGCTGGAACGATGGGTACTCAGTAAATGTGAATTTTTCCATTAATTTTTAATACCCTTACAGATTCGAACATATCTTGTAGAAATCATGCGCGAAATACCCATTCTTCTGCCCATTTTGTCGCAGATTAACGGTCTCTTCAGGGTTAATGAAATATTCAGAATACAAGTTGGCAAACAAAAGTTTCTTACGATAAATTCTCTTCAGGTCAGTACAATTATATAGGAACGGCATACATTCAAACATGCCAGTGACTGGAAAATTGATTAACGTTAGTTTTAAAAACAGAGGCGGAGCGTGAGCGGAAGGGCACGAATAGTCGCATGTGATTAGTCGACCTTTGACCATGGTAAACGCGGATCTCGGACAAAGTTAATCTGCGAGCATAAGGTAGACGTTCGCAGCCTGATTGCGGCTGCTTCTGATGTTGCCAACAGACGCTTACCCAGTAGCTTAAGATAGCTGGAATTCATCGAGATATCAAAGATCTTAACCTTGACGACATGGTGATGTTGTTGTTAGATGTCTCATTACTTTTTGCAAACGTTTCGGTCACCGAGACAGTTGATTAAATCTGTGAATTCCTGTCAGCCAATTAGCTAGAAATAGGGATTCGGACGATCGCACTCAAGGGTCTGCTACCAAAATGCATAATAAATATGCATTTTCCTTTTGACAACCAACTCTACGTACAGATAGACGACGTTAGTGTAGCCTCGCCTCTTGGGCCTTCCTTAGTCGATGTCTTTATGGGAAAGCTGAATAGATTTAAACTAAGCGATCAGATCAATGAGCTAAAACATTGCGGTCGCTACGTCGATGACATCTTTATAACTGCTACCAAAGAAACCTACGTAGATGACCTCTCAAGTGCTGCAAATCAGGCACATCTGTCAAGCATGTTCACGTTGCATACGGAAACAGCCGGTTCGCTCCCTTTCTTCTAAACAGAAGACCTGACGGTAGCATCCGAAGGAGGGTCCTCCGGAAGAAGAACTGGTCTGGACAATACACGAACTTCGGTCCTTTGATAACCCTCTAACGGAAGCGAAATCTACTCCGGTGTTTGGCGCGAAGAGCTAGAGAAATTTATCCCATAGACAGCTTTATGGAGGAGCTTAGAAAAATCCAGGAATTGCATCGCGAACACGAGTATCCTGCCAGGTTTGTTGCAAAGAATATTACCAAACGACCGAAAAGACCACCGCATTGATTGTTGAAAAGAAAATTTTTTCACTCAAAGTCCCTTTTCAAGGAGACACTGCGATTGAACTCCTAAGAAGACGCCTTGATCAATCTGTCTCGCGAACCTTCCCAGCAGCAAGGATCCGAATAGTATTCTCTGCCAATCCTATTTTGCGTGGAGAAGGTAAGGATAAGTTGCTACCCCAGACCACCTCAATGTGTATCAATTCCTTCACTTGCTCCTGTGGAACAAATTATATTGGTCGCGCGAGGCAGCGCCTAGCCAAAAGAACATCAGAACACCTCCCCGCATGACTGGGAAAGGGTGAAAGGAGGAGCATAAACAGCGCCCTTCTCGTACATGCAGTTGATTCAGGGCATCATTTGGACCTCAGCAAAGCTATTCGTGTGATTTATAAGGCTCACTCGAGCTATCCTAGGCTACTGGATCAACGATTGTTAGCAAGAACAGAAGCGACTGCAATCGGGTTTCGAAAACCGACCTTAATCGCGCAGAAGGACTTCGTTCGGGCCCTGCGCTTGCTGTGGTCAAAGGTCGACTAACCACATGCAAATCTCCGCGCCCTTCCGCTCTCCCTTTGGCTGTGTTTTTGGACGATAACTTTAATCGATTTTCTAATCACTGACATGTTTGACTGCACGCCGTTTTCATGTAATTGTACTGTCGGGGTTGTAATATTGATAATAGATGTCGGCTTCTAAATGTCCCTCCTTTCGACCGGCCGCAAAAATCGTACTCGGCAAAGAAATAATTCACTAAGGTATCATGTGTTTTTAAATTGATTTTCGGTGTCCATACGAATGCAGGTATATTTCAAAGAAGACTCCCCTGACGCATTTTCTCTTGTACGCATTTTGTAGAAAAGCCCGTTTTCTTCGAATTTTATGCTCGAAGAATGGGTAAACTTACGTTTAAAAACGTTTTTTTTATTCTTGGATAATATTGAACTCGATCTACCATCGCATTTGCGTTCGGGATTACGAACTGCAGGCTGTCCACTTCTCACATGAGGGAAGCCGTATATTCCACTATGCTATAATGCCACTCGAGGCTCATAAAATTATGCAGAGGACGAGATATATGTTTAAAATATGTTTTTCACTTCATAAGGAGAATTAAAGAACGGTCAGACATAATATTATTTGAATAGAAATTTCGCGGTCTTAAAAAATCTCACAATAATCTGCTTTCCAATAATAAATGACATAGTATTTTGAATATAAAATTTGAAGAAGACAGGACATTCTATCGAATGAGTACAAAAAGCGATATTTTGTGCATATTTTTCATAAAAATCTTCCTATTTGAATTTGTGTGGGCATCGAAAATAGATTGAAAAATTCATCTCACCGAAGTGGTCATTTTTAGATTGAGCGCAGTTTTTATAGACGGCAAAAAACAATTGCGTTCAAAAGCCGGCGTGCTGGAACGACTGAAGCGTCTTGGAATTATGTTGCATGATAGTCATTTGTACAACCTTACTTAAGTAATCCTTCCTAAGTGAAAACGCATCTCAGAGACGACAGTACTCATCAGTCGGTCCGAGTTGACTGCCTTCGTCCCCAAGTTTCCCTGGAAATTTTGCAATTAATATGCCTACTGAGGCAGGCCCCATCCGAGTGCGTTGCCTGCAGAAAACTACGGTCTTTCTTTGTTGGGCCGACGCCAACCATACGGGCTATCTCTTCTGCAAATGTGTTTCCGGTGTCTAATGTGTGTGCCTGGTTGCCCAAAAAAATGGCTTAGCCTGCTTATCGCTGTCTAATGTTCATGTGTCCAGGTGGGGGCGGACTTACCAGTTTGTCCACAATAGATGGCATCACAGTCGACACATGGGATTTTTAGGCATCTTTTCTATGTAGGAAGGGCATTTACTGACAGGGTTAAGAAGCATGCTCGTCTCGTTATGTCTTTGACCCGAGCCAGGAGCCCTCGGAGACAGTCGCACAGCAACCAGTAATACATGTGGAGGAGGAGTACTGCTAAAGGCAGTGGAGACTGGAGTGGTCGCTGCTGACTTGTTAGCCATCGTCAACTGGCGGTATCCAACCCCAGGTTCAAGTGGTCTGGGATTGGAATGCAGGCTCTTCGGCCAAAGAGCGTTACTAAGTTCGACGCTCTACCACTGAACCACAGGTTAGCTGTCTTGTTAGTTGCTATCGGGAATATCAACTATCGTGGGACGGAGCGTCCATCTATCAAATTAGCTGAGGTGGTAGTCTCCTTACGCAGGATAGAGTACCAACAGAAAAGCGGTCCCACGGCTCAGTGATAGAGCACTGAACTTCAAACGCTTGGCAAACAAAGATCCCGGCTTCGATCCCCAAGTTATCCAAACTTAGTTTTAAGTACGGCTGGCCGACGGTTGTTATGGTCTGCCCTAACTTTGTCGATACTCCTTCATACAACTTCTCACCTATTGGCATGGCCAACCCTGTCTATAGAGTGTAAAAGCTGGGTGCACAGCATACTTGCAAGGTTAGTTCGCTCTCCGTATCTGATGTCTTTTCAGCTCTCGTGTAGAGGAAAGTCTTCCAATTTCCACATGTGAGATCATCAAGGACCAGTGCAGGATGTAATCAACGTGTATTAACGCAAATTTTACCCAACTGCAAAATATTTTGTAACGCATGATAAAAAAGACAAAGGCGCAGTTCCCTTGATGCGGACGTTCCTTAAAGTGGGTGAGTGAACGCGATAAACCCGAGGGACTATCATTTTGTGAAAATCTGTCAAGAGTATGGGAAATGCAATATAGTGAACCCAAGAGTAAACATATTTTGGTCATTTAAAAGGTCTGATCAGCTAGGCCATGTAAGATGTTCTCCATAAAAGGCAAGTCGTAACGACCTTGGGAAGGAGGGGATAAGACTACCAGAGCAAGGTTTCATACCCGAACTCACCATCATGGACAGCGACAAATAAGTGCGGTGAGCTTGCAAGAATTGCTGTGCATACAGTATGCAGTCGCTACGCCAAGTGATACCTACCAAAACTATCAACTCCTGTAGTGACCACAGATGGTCGTACTTGCTGCGATGATTGCCTCATCTCCCACATTCGAGTAATAACTTGCCTCAATTTTATCATCAATTCTGATGATTTGTGGAATACTGACTCCTCAACTATCTGTGAAATGGACAGCAACCATTTTTTAAATAGGAAACCTATACAGGAACCCCTTTTACTAGTAAGCTCTTGTTTTGGAGGGAGAGTTTATTTTTAGACAATCAGACGTATGGGAAGTAGATTATTCCCTGCACAACATTCCTCCCTATGTTAACGAAAGCTTAGAGTTCCACATCTGGAGAGCGATTAATGGCCCACCGACGGCAGTGTGTTCGTGCACTTTTCAATTCCACAGTCGTCAAAGGGATTCAGCAATTTCGCAAGACAAGCTTCTCTTTCAATAGTCAAAGGAGGCATGCTTCTTGTCATGTTTAGTTTTTTAATCTCGTTCTTTGCCTCTGAGTGGCCTTTACGCATTCGTTCGCGCCCTTACATTTTGTTAACTTCCGACTCTGCCAGTCTAACGAATACATCGCCGTTATCTGAGTCCCAGTACAGATCTAAAGATAGTCCTGATTTTTTGGGACGCAGAGCGCATTGACGTCAAATAGGTAGCCACGGTTCTTTACTTGTACCCTGTGAAGCCTTTTTGTTGGACACGGAACACGACCGTTTTCTGGCCTTCACTTCAGTCATGTGATTGGTCCTGACGATTCATGCGCGTGGGATGTGTAAGAGGAAAAACGGAGCAAGGGTTGTTTCCGCAGGCGGGAAAACGATGTCAGCAGCAGGGGGTTTGCGTCAAGAGGTATTAAACGTCCTCAAGTGGAGAAGTGAACGACAAAAGCGTGAGCCTTTTGAGATTCAAAATCGACAGCAAGGTCATAGCAAGCAGAACTAAGTCTACTCACTGATCTAACTGGTCATATTAATTTCGCTAGGCCTTACAGCCACTGCCAACCACCAAAGACCCCCAGAATTAGGTTCCGCCCAGTAATTGAAGACGGGATACGTCCGTAGGAGGAATATATTCTTTACAGTGGACCGAAGGACAGTTCTAGCGAGCAGGACTTATAGCCTGCCATTCTTCCGGAACCGAGCGCCAGTGGTGAGCTCAGGAAAGTCTCTGACCCTGTCAGAGGCGTAAAATCGATAGATCGATTAATTGACACCTGTGATTAGCTGTCCCTACTAGTGTAGCACTCGTTCAAAGTCCTGATTGTATGAGTCATGGTCTGCCGCGGCGTGGACACTACCTGCAGGGGTGGGATAGATGGCCTACATGAAGCGCGTTGTATGAAATGGTCGCCAACGGTTGAAGACTGCGAATGATAGTTTGATGTCAGCTTAATGTCCGCTATCTAACAGGCGCTTGGTAATGCGATTTTATTGTTCGACTTGAGGAGAAATTTCGAGCTCGTGTCAAACTAAGCTGGCTGCTAATTGCCCGAATGTTCTTCAGCAAGAAACCGATATTTGCATTTCATATGAAATATATTTCGCAGTCTTTTCAAAATAGCAAGGAAAATTTGCCTCGGAGAAATGCTCGACAAGGGTATGGTTTACACCCGGGGTCACTTATTCCAGGGAACAAGTGTGTTGCGCAAAAGAGCCGAACGTCCAAGAACTTTGTGGTATCACAAATTCTAATCCTCCATACTGTAACCAACCAAAAGGGAAACTACTTTAACCATTTAACGATAATAATAAAGAAATGTAGAGCCCATTTGGAGGCATTGTCAAAAAGGCACTGCACCGTCGTATTTTTTACTCCGATGAATACCTTAAAGCTTCTTGACCAACCTAACGCAGCAGCCACCGAGAGGTCTTTTCATTCCTTTCTCTGACACCTACAAGTAAATATCGTCACTCATTTACTTTTAACACAATGGCTCCCAGAAGTGACCCCGGGCGTAAACCATGCTCTTGCTAAATACTCGATCAGAACTGATTCTCCTCGACGAAACTCACGAACAGTGCGTTTTACTAATGTGACTCATTCAAATATGTAGGCTTTTGTGGTAACATATGGACGAAATATCTGGTTTTGAAGGATCCTGTTGTAATATATTTTCCCACTAGGAGTGCCACTCTATTAAAAACGGTTAAGTGGGTGCGACGACTGTCCACTGAAGGGATTTACAATGCAGTCCGACTGATAGGTTCGGGCCATATTTAAGTTATGTCTACTGGAACGGCCGATGATGCTCTGCCTGTGGATGTTAATTACATTTATGTTCAGAATTTCCAACATAGTCACTGTTTAATACCTATCCGAGGAAAACATACAGTTACTGTTATTCTAAACACATCACTATCTCCTTGTCCGGCTCAGGGTGACTTCCACCACACGAATGTCCATCTTCTGAGTTAGTACTTTTGCCAACCCTTTCCTTTGCAGATATTCTCACGCTCGAACCCCTATAAATATAAGGCCGTGTTTTACCTAAACACCACTTTATAGCGTGTAACTTATCTTTTCTTGTTAAGAATGCTTACTCGTGTTTTATGTCTTCCGAACTTGAGCATAGTGACTGGAAAATTGGCTTTGCGAGAACTCTGACTGCTGGAGTCTTTGACGTTTTTCGTAACTTTGAGAGAGAAAACTGCCTAAATCTATCCATAGCAGATGATTTGAGCCATGACTACGCGCGTATCGCAGGCAGATGCGTTTAGAAAAACCTTTAACGTTGTGCTGCTAAAGTGCCCCAAATGCACTTTCTAATACTCCAAAAACGCACTCTGGTTACACCACTCTAAAGATGAAAAATAAAGCAGGGATAAAAAAAGTTCCCGTCAAAATTTTTGCGTTTTCCAATAAGACTCCGCTTTCTTTCAGTACATTACTGGAGAATCACAAAGTCTCTATATTTTATTCTCAAGGACGGAGTGTAATTAGGTTTTAAAAAAGTTTCTAATTAGGAGATTTTTTAAGACCGCTCAATGTCCATTCACACAGCATCGTACCTGGCCGTTTACCACAGCCGTTTACCAGTCCGCATCCATTGCAAACTTTTATGGACTCTGTATGATATCTTTTTAAAGGCATAGAAAAATATGTTATTTTCTTAACGCGGAACACATGCACCTTGTAGACTGAAATCACTAAGCGCTAATGCAACGAATGATCAGGCTCCAAATTATTCGACAACTAGAAAACTTTTTTTAAAACCTAATCACACTCCGTCCTTGAGTATAAAATATAAAGATGACGTGATTCTCTAGTAATTTACTGAAAGAAAGCATATTTTTTAATGGTTTCTATAAGATATATTTGAATTTGCAAGACCCTCGAAAATCAATGGGAAAGATGCATCCTACTTAAGCAGTCATTTTTTTACCGAGTACGGTTTCTACAGGAGATTGAAAAGCAGTGTATTCAAAAGCTGACATCCTGCCGAGTCCGAAATGTTATAAGGTTATGCCTCAAGATAATCAGTATTACAACCGCGACCAAGTGATCCTTCAAAATCGGAATCAAATTTGAGAATTTCAGCCAACATTTCATGAGATCGGTCATTCGCTGTCTACTAACGATACCGTAACAAGCTGGGATTTCCAGAAGACCGGAATTTCCAAAAAATCGAGGAAGAATTCTACAAAAACGGCAGAATGAGGACAATACTATCAAAAACCCCGCGAAGTCTTCACTGTAAACAGTCCCAGGTCGTCTAAGCTCCCTACTTGCTGCAGGTGGCTAAACTGAGGAAACACGCTGATCGTAAACTAGATGGCCAACTTGAGATCTCTCGGAAGCTGGGCATTTTACTTAGTAAATTAGCGACAGTTCGACTATCGTTGATGACGGTTACTTGCACTAGAATTGTTCTATAGTGATAGTACACTTTCACAGCATCTACCGCACACTCCCCTCCATCAGCTTCCTGGGCTCGGTGTTGGTACGGGGAGTGGGAATAGTGCAGAGCCACGACCACACGCCATGCAGCAGGCCGCGGAATGTCAACTGAGAAAGCCAATCAGCGTGCGCTGCAGTATCGAGCACGCCCGATGGTTTTGTTTGCGCATGCGGCCCAATCAATGGCTGGTCGAATATTCAAGACTTTTCCGCGGGAAGATTCCCGCGCCCGCAACGGCCAATCCGCGACCGGCACGCCATGGGCAGGAATGTTCTAGAACGCTCTCGACGGCTGGCATACCATTGACTGGGATCAACATAAATAAGGCGTATTTCTGACGAGTTAAAACCCCTCATGCTCGCGATAAAGTACCTGTTCTCTGAACCGGCCCTCTTTCTGCTCCACACTCCCGTCGAGTCATTACAGGTCTTGAGAGAGAGGGGTAGGGGACAAAAGACCAAAGGCGAGGTCGGACGCAGTGGCTGACAAAGCTAAACGCTCCGTTTACGAGTGCCACACACGCGCCGGATCCGCACAGGCTGGGTAAGGTTTACACGGAAACACGACACGCGTGGTTAGGATCCCAATCGAGTAGGGGTAGCATAGAGGTCATATTAAAAAGGAGTCGACACAGACCGACTACCCGTCCTGAGAGGAGGGCCGAGTTATCTCGTGGGCTAGAAGCTTTTAAAAACACGGCTTTTAGCCCGCTGCGATAATTTAAAAGCGTGTCAGATTGGTTATAGTGAGGAATGTACGTTATATACCGTTGGGGTGCAGTCTCCAAGATCAATCTCACTCTTTCTTCCCTTACCCAGGCACTAGTTTCATGTCCGAGCCAGTCGGTCATTTGACGCGCGGCGTGGGCCTGTGTCTAGACGTGCTCCCCCGTCACGTGTGACACCTCTTATGGGTTCAGATTGATAAAGGGTTGATTATTGTAAGAAGAAGAAGAAAGAAGAAGAAGAAGAAGAAGAAGAAGAAGAAGAAGAAGAAGAAGAAGAAGAAGAAGAAGAAGAAGAAGAAGAAGAAGAAGAAGAAGAAGAAGAAGAAGAAGAAGAAGAAGAAGAAGAAGAAGAAGAAGAAGAAGAAGAAGAAGAAGAAGAAGAAGAAGGGCTCTCCGGAACAGGTTTATTTAAGTGCTGAAGTTTCAAAGAACTTAGACGGTTCTCCATTGTCCAAGCGTAAAATGCACTTAATCGATCAGAAATTTTAATTGGCGTGTTGTGTTGGTCGGCCTCATGCTGATCGATTTTTCTTTCCTCTCGCTGTCTCGACCCCTCGGGCGATGGTTGACGGGCGTTTTGCCTGCGTGCATTGTGAGTCACCACTCCGTCGGGGGGAGCCGCCGATGGGTTCTCAGCCGATTAGCGCGTGTCGTACCCTGATGCAGTCACCGCATTGGTAAATCACTCATCATGTCCAGGGCGACTTGGTCCATCCAAAAGTCTTGTGAAGGTTATCTTTGATTTGATCAGCCCATCATGGGCGAGACAAAAACGAAGAAAAAATGCACCTAATTCCCATGTATCGTTTTTGAAATTTCGACCAACTCTAAGGATATTTAACAGGACGATTATTTGAAGTGTTTTTAAATGTTATTTATGCGTGTTGTTTTAGATGCCTGGTCGGTTGTAAAGAGTTTCATTCTGTGATGATGAACAATTTGCTTATTTTTCTGAGTTTCGAATTCGTGCAGGATAGTAGCAGCCGCAGAAAAACGACAGTTATAGGAGGTATGAGACAATCGAAAATCAATGACAGGAGTCTTCTTCTTCTTCATCTTCTTCTTTATTAATGCATACAAGTGAAACTCGAAACCTCGCCCCTTTTCAAGAAATGGAATTGTTTCATGCAGTTGACGAACGGTTGCTATTTATTAATTCCCCGTTAATAGGGGTTTTATGGATGGTGGCTGGTCGGGATGTACGATACTAGCTGACGTAAAGCCTTATTTGAACAGGTGAATGATCGAAGTTGGCCCGCTCTCCGTTCCGTTATTATAAAATGTGTGACCAAAGGCAGTATAGTGGTAGCGGACGAGTGAAAGGCGTATAATCGTCTTCCCTCAGAAGGTTATCTACATTTCTCTGTTAACCACTCAAAGGACTTCAAAGGCCCTACCACCGGACGGCACACCAATGCCATTGAGGCATACTGGAGTAGACTGGAAAGGAAACTACACGAGGGAGGCCCTGTATGTGGTCGAGCTGTGTGGGCTCACACAGACGAAGTACAGTATGGTCTTTGGTTTGGCCTCAATGCCATGTCTTTGACAGATGCCTGGGAACTGTTCCTGTCCCATGTTGTGCAGACTTATCCTATTTCAAGGTGATTTTGTTTTGTAATGAACTGCCATAATGGGAATGTATGCCGTATATTCAGGTGTACGTGTGTAACGATGGGGAAAGTTGGGTAACAGCGCCCATCGTCCATGTAACCTCCTGCGATGATCGTTCGGCCAGCCCATGTTAGGCCGTCGGGGAAAGTCGAAGTAGTGCGTGAAAGTAGGCCTGCAACCGCTGATCTAGCCTGAAGGCGTTTGAGTCCACTGTTAAAGGTATTATTTCTAGGTAACGGATTTTTTTGGGTGCCATCTCCCGATTGTTACCAAATGCCTTATTAAGATTATCTTTGATTTGATCAGCCCATTATGGGCGAGACAAAAACGAAGAAAAAATGCACCTAATTCCCATGTATCGTTTTTGAAATTTCGACCAACTGTGAGGATATTTAACAGGACGATTATTTGAAGTGTTTTTAAATGTTATTTATGTGTGTTGCTTTAGATGCCTGGTCGGATGTAACAACGTTCATTCTGTGCCTCTACAAATTATGCCAGTTTGCTCATTTGACATGACATTTGTGTTTTTGGATTTAAGCTTTTCTCGAGAAAAATTTTTAGTTATGACCGAGGTGACCTTTCTCTCAGTTCTCGTCTTTTTTCTGCTATTGCTGACGGTCTTTCATTTTTAATTTTTTGCCGTGATTTCGGCCGTCTACTGTTATTCAGTATATCCAATATACATATATATCCAATATATAAATATATATATGGTCAGAACGGCATTACTGACAAAGACAAGGGAGACTGGAATGGCCATTTATGCCCTACTAGCCGTCGTCAGCCTGTCATACCCAACCCCGAAGTGTGGCACACCCGAGGCTCGAACTCGCGACCTGTTAGTTAGAAGTCCACGCTTCTAACCACTGGGCCACGAGCCCGTTGTCCTGTCGGTTTTCGATCGGGGGCGCTCACCATTTATTCGTACGGAACTCACTCTTTCCGTTGTGCCTTACGGGCTGAGTGGTGGTCCAAGACTTAGCCTGCAGCGACTCCCTCTGGATGTGGCCTCAATGGTACTCTTGACCACGTGAGATCCAAGCTGCAATTATGGAACCTTGATACATGTTCAATTCTTTTGTGCGAAGACCGAATGTTACGTACCCGGATTGTGTGTGGCACGCGCAGACGGGCTCTTTAGCTCAGTCAGTCACCTGCGCTCAATCCCCACATCAGATGACCGACCGATTCGGACAGTGATCTGGCACCTGTGAGAGGGAAGAGAGGGGGTGAGTTCGGTTTTGAGGCCTACGACACTCAGCGCATAGTCCTCACCTGATACGTTTTTAAACTAGCACCGTTTGCTAAAATCCGTAGCTGGGAAGGCTACCAACTTACGGAATAAGTCGGCCCTTTCCTCAGGCCGGAGAGTCAGGCTGCAGCTACTCATTCTGTGTGTGGCCTCTATTGTGCTCTTGACCACGTGAGATCCAAGCTGCACTTTTGGAAGCTTGATACATGTGTTGAACCAATTCGTAACTGGTACTGTCGGCTGCTACCGCCGAGCCCACCTCCGTAACAAAGTAGATGGGGAAAAAAGAGTGTGTTGGATGCAGAGCAAGCCTGCGTTAGCATCACCCCAGTGTCGGACCCAGCTCGTAGACTAGCGGTTGATCTGTCCCCAACAGTCTGAAGAAAATAACGCTAGCTACGGGGTAGTGGTGTGAGCTGGTAACTAATAAATTGAAGGATGCCTCACCTGTTAGCTAGTAACTGGCGCTGCGAAACAGATTTAATTGTATAAGTAAATAATAATAAGAGGAAGAATAAGAATAAGAATAAGAAGAATGAGAAGAAGAAGAAGAACATCGTGGTGATGAGGATGAGGATGATGATGATGATGATGATGATGATGATGATGATGATGATGATGATGATGATGATGATGATGATGATGATGATGATGATGATGATGATGATGATGATGATGATGATGATGATGATGATGATGATGATGATGATGATGATGATGATGATGATGATGATGAACAATTTGCTTATTATTCTGAGTTTCGAATTCGTGCAGGATAGTAGCAGCCGCAGAAAACCGACAGTTATAGGAGGTATAAGACAATCGAAAATCAATGACAGGGGTCTTCTTCTTCTTTATTAATGCATACAAGTGAAACTCGAGATCTCGCCTCTTTTCATGGAATGGAATTGTTTCATGCAGTTGACGAACGGTTGCTATTTATTAATTCTCCGTTTATCCTTTTCCCAAGGTTCGGAAGTGTATTACTTGGTGATGAATTCGGTTTCGTAAGTAAAACGAAGGTGGTTGAGAAATTAACTGAATCATTTTGGGGTGAAGCTAGGCCTACGTGGCTGGCTGCCGGAAAGGCCAGGGGTAAGTGTGTGAAAGTTTTGTGCACTTAGTGGTCTGGGTTTTTTTTCTCGGATGGCGTCGCCATAGCAACTTGCCGGAACAGCCTCGCCTACGCCAGACATTTACCTCGCGTCTTGCCAGCCAGGCCAGAAGATGTTCTCTCTTTCTCTCATCCTCCTGCAAAGACGTCCGACGGACGTGGACTGATGCAGCTGGAAAAAAAGGTGTACAATTTGCAAGGAGCGCTTCAAGTTGAGAAAGCAAAAATGATCGAGCAAACGTTGACGAGAACTGTTATATCAGGAGAAGGTATCGGATGCATCTGTACTATCCCAGATTCAGCTGTGGTGTTGGAGTTTGGATGAGGGTGCCTGGTTGCGTTGTGCATTGAAAGCGTAGGTAAGGGACGCATCTTGACCCCTGTAGTCGAGGTGTATTCAGTAATCAATAAAGTAGCCTACGAGCCAGTCTCTGGGACTACAGACTACGAGTTGGTTTTCGCGTCTTCTTACCGCTGATGACATTCTGAAGAGCGTAAACGCGCTAGATATTTCACCATCTCAAGTTTAAGTTCGGTACTTATAGCAAAACACCCGAACACCAGAGATAATTCAGAGTAATTAATTTATCAGATTGAGAACTTTTGTAATTTTACCCCGGGAGCTCAGGAGCATATATATGATAAAGGGGGTGCTCGCCGATCAGGTTACGGGATCTTCTTGTCTCGTTGTGCTTTTGGGCTCAATTAAGAGTTCCTCCCGGCAGTCAAACGGCTCAATGGTAGATAATTGAATTTAAGCGCTCGCCGGCCTAAATAATCGAGATTCAAATCCAAAACGCTATCCGAACATGGGGTTGTGTGTGGTTGGCGACGATGGTTAATTAGCCAGAAGTGGCCGTTACAGTTTTTTGGCTTCGTCGGTCCGCCTACCAGTGTCACTATTGGTCGCCTCTGGGGTTCCTGATCGCGCCCGTACAACGCGACGGGACAAATATGTGCTATCACCTGATTGGTTAAAGTTAAGTGTAACCTCTTCCCCGAAATCAGTCTCCAAACCGCACTGCCTCCCTGAATGTGCAAATCCAACCCAAGTCACTGTTCAATGCTGTGCGTAGTGCCTGGGAAAACGGTGCCAGCAGAACCAACCCGCAAACAGTGTCATCACCTAGCGACGTGCACATTTATAAAGTGCGTCTTTCCTGATAAACCCCGGATGGTCCGATTATTGAGCCTTGCCCTTATAAGCCGACGTCATTTTGGTTAAAGTCAGTGTCATGTCAGTAGAAAAAAACACTATGTTGTCGCCTAAAATTAGCACGGGCTATTCTGTTGCAGGTTTATGATGTACGCTGTCACCTCGGGTAGACGGCCCAACGTCCGCTGAACCACTTTGGTCCAGAGAAATGACTATGGTAAGGATACTGTCGACAACATCATTTTAGAGTTCCATAACCAGATGCGAAGGGCACCACACAACGCAAAAAGTAGTAACCAAGTAAACATAGACTACAGGCGGAGGAAGGATTCGATTTCGATCTTGCGGAAGTGAGAAGGGTCATTTGTGGCTACGTCGCTACCGAAGAACGCGAACATCTCACAAGGAACTTTGAATGGTTCCGAGCGCACTTGTCTCGATGTCCAAATAGACCATTCGAGGTGGACGTGTAGATATTCCCGGAGTGTTTGAAATGTTTCTGGCTGACGGCCGCAGGCAAACCGGAAACGGCCATACGCTTGGTGGCAGCGTCTTCAGTCGATTGGATCTTTGTTTCTTCCCCTGTCCCCTCCCCTCTCTCTCTCCTGCTCGGACGTCGGGCAAGTAAGTTTCTTGTTCCAGTGATCGCATCTTCATCTTCTGAGCGAGGACGGTATTTCTAGGTACAGTATCAGAATATAGAGAGAACTTCACTGATAGAGGTATGTTTGTTTTCGAACATCTCAAGTAAGTAAGTGGGTTACCAATCTGTATAGACTAAGGTGTTCTCCTCGCAGTTCTCCATACAAGGCGACCGTTAAGGGCGGTCTTGCTGTAGCGGAGCGGTGCACTCCCGTTGGGACATGCGGGGTCGTCCCGTCACGTGGACCATGGGTCATGTTAACCCCATCTTGCTCGGTTTCGGTATTGACGCTACCATCGTAAGTGGCATCTGTTGGATTGGAGGCGGCTTCTTCTCACTGTGTGCAAATGGAGTTCACGAGCCAAATAGGGATATTTATTTACTGCCTTGACTGAGATCTGTCCCCTGACGTAACTGTTTAATCCATATTGACCCAAATGTGATAAAGTCGGCGCCTCGGTGGGGTTCGAACCCGCGCAATAAGGGGAGGGCCTTAGTACAGCCGACGCTATAGCCACCTGAGCTGCGAGGCCCAACCAGAAGACGTGAGTTTAATCACATTTGGGTCAAGTCACCCGCCCAACCTACTGCAACGTCTGGAATCCACCAAATCTGATACAGTAAGTTGACTGCCCAAGCAGGATTTCCTAAGCAATACATCTAGAATCCACCAGATGACTACCAGGCTCACGTAATTCTAGGTGAATTACTTAGGAAATCCTGCCTGTGCAGTCAGCCTACTGTATCAGATTTGGTGGATTTCAGACGTTGCAGTAGGTTGGGTGGGTGACTTGACCCAAATGTGATTAAACTCACTTCTTCTGGTGGGGCCTCGTAGCTCAGGTGACTAGAGCGTTGGCTGTACTAAAGCCTTCCCTTTATTGCGTGGGTTCGAATCCCACCGAGGCGCCGAGTTTTTCACAGTTGGGTCAATATTAATAATTCAAAATGTGCCAAAATATCAACGAATTACGCAAGCCTGGTAGTCATCTGCTGGATTCTAGGTGAATTACCTAGGAAGTCCTGCTTGGGCAGTCAACTTACTTTATCAGATTTGGTGGATTCCAGACTTTGTAGTTGGCTGGGCAGGTAACTTGACACAAATGTGATTGCCGATACAAGCGAGAATCCGAAACGTCAGGCGAATAAAGCCCTTGTTCCAGCAATCGCTTCTTCTTCTTCTGATCAATAAATGTGACTAAATTCACGTCTCCTGGTGGGGCCTCGTAGTTCAGTTGGTTACAATATTGGATGCACTCAAGCCCTACCCCTGCTGACGTGGGTTCAAATCCCACCGTGGTCGCCGAGTTCTTACCCAGTTGGGACAGAATAAATTATTTGAAATCCGCCAAAACACCTATTGATCTCATCCTACTCATTCCGCCTAAAGACTGCTTGCTGTCATCATACAAACTGGAGCTCTACTATACTTTAGCTGTTTAACTGAATGTCCTCTTGCAAAACACTCGGTAGGCAATCGGGTAAATCGTTCAGGTCTGCCAAAACGCCCATCAAATTCAACGTGCTTAGGAAAACCCATTTGGGCAGTCAGCCGGTTGTTTCGACTGTGTGGATTCGATGGATTGCAGTAGGTTGGCTGAGTAACTTAGCCCGACTGTGAACAACTCAGGGTTTTTCCCCAAGTGGTCAAAGCGTTGGCGTACACTCGTACCGTGTCCTTGCTGCCGCGGATTCAAATCCCACTGCAGCCAGCGAGAATTTTCACAATTGGATCAAAATGAATTATTCAAAATCTGCCAAAACATATACGAATTACGTGAACCTGGTAGTCATCTGGTGGATTCCAGGTAAACCATTTAGGAAATCCTGTTTGGGCAGTCAACTTACTGTATCAGATTTGGTGGACTCCAGACGTTGCGGTAGGTTGAGCGGGTAGCCCGACCAAAATGTTACTAAACTCACGTCTTCCGGTGCGGCCTCGTAGTTCAGGTGGTTAGAGCGTTGGCAGTACTAAAGTCTTCCACTTGCTGTCGTGGGTTCGAATTCCACCGAGGCGCCGAGTCTTTACCAGTTGGGTCAATATGAAAACCTATATCTATAGACTCCATCAACAGCACGGACAACAGCATGGACACAGTACTGTTGGGGCTGGGGTGAAGGGTTAGGGTTAGGGTTTATGGTTAGGGTTAAGGTTAGGGGCTGAGATTTAGGATAAGGGGTTAGAGTTAGGGTTAGGGGTTAGCGCAAATATTTCTCAACCATTCAAAATAAAACCGCGCATCCCCAATAGCTTTTCTTTTGCATACAACTACTTGACCTCGTAGCCTGCGCGTTCCCCTGTACCACTTGTAAAAAACCCTATTACCTCGCTCACGTATTAGAGGTGACTGGGGTTTGTTTACTTTAGGTGGGGCTACATAACCACATCCGACCCATTTTGTCCTCCTGCGTACATACTTCCCTGGCAAATCCTTATAATTTTTCTGCCATAAATGAAAACTTCGTTCCTCTTTGCATTAAAGCCACATACATCATATGTGTTTGTTTTTGTTCCTCTGTTGTATGTCGTCAGTTGTCCCTAAATTACGTGTTGGCAGAAGCTATGTTTCTTAACATATGCTCGAAAGGTGAAATTCGTTCTTAATGAGGGGCCATTTCGCGGTTACTTTTCGGTTGTTTTTATATACCTAAAAATCAAGGATGTGCTTAAATAAATGTCCGCCGACAGGCGTTATGGCTGCATTCCTGGGCGCAAAATTAAGTCGATTTGCTAATCGGCACTTTCTAAGGGAGAACGGACTACCAGAGAAACAGGCCTAAATGTGCATAGGTGGCTTGTGGTAGTCGTTTGCCTAAAACGTTGCCTGAATATACACTGTGACATTGATTTACAGCGAATATTTTA